TAGAGCGGGGACAGAGCGAGGAGGGACCGGAGATATCGCCCAGGCACAGCAGGGAGAGGTCGGAGAGGGGCAGGGATACCGGGGAGTGACCGGAGAAACCGCCCGGAGATACCGGGGACAGACCGGGGACACCGAGGATAGACCCAAGAGACCCCGGGAGATCCCGCCCGGGGATACCCGGGGTCAGATCGGTCAGACCGGAGATCCCGCCCTGTCCCCACCGAGGAGAGCCCGAGGATCCCCCGACCTGCACCGGGGAGAGCCCGGAGATCCCGCCCCGTCCCCGCGGGGATCCCGCCCGGCTCTGCCCGAGCCCCCGGGGCAGCGCCGCCCCCCAGCCCCGCTGTCCTGCCCGGTCCCCGCGGTGCCTCGGGGGTTTCCCCCCAGGGACACCGGTTACACCAGTACCTGCTTAAAGGGGACGGGGAGTAAATCCCGTGGGGCAAAGCCCACGTTTGATTCTCCCACAGCCTTGGTGCTGCTTTTCCCCCAGCCCAGACCCACCAGGAGCCCCAGGCTGCACCAAACATGTTCCCCAGAGTGTCCAGTCTCTCCCAAACATGGGGCACCCCAAGGACTCGGGAGCTCAGGGTCTCTTCATCCTCTTTTTGTGCCCACTCTGCCCCAAAGAAGGGGGACACGTCCACCTGGAGGTCAGAGTAGTGCAAAAACCCCCCCCAAGGCTCTTCTCCCAGCAGGTAGAGAGGAGCCAGGGCAGCCTCTCCTCCCCCAAAAACCAGGGTAGGAACCTCTGAAGAACACAGTGACCTTTGCTATCTGCTGGCAGAGACAGCACAGGGCTGCAGGAGACTTTACTTCCAGACTCAGCACAGAGGCCTTTCCACCACCTTTCTTTTCCTGCCTCAAAAAAGGCTCCATAAAGAGCCAACCACCCTTGGACGTTTCCATGTTTTATAGGGTCAACATTTCTACAGAGAGCTACCACGTTAAAAACATCCACTCACACACAACAGCAGCAGCAGCACAAAAGGAAGGCTCAGCACCAGAGCAGGGCTGGTAACACAGCCCAGCAAAACACAGAAGCCTTTAGCTGAGACTTCAGAGCCTTTCTGGGGCCTGTTTTGCCCCCAAATCCACAGTTTTCCTCAGTCCATGTGGTTCTTTGCCTCTCCACCACAATTAGAGCACTCCTGGGTTCAGGGAAGTGCTGCCCTGCTAAGAGGTGACAAAGCCTGGGTTCCCCAGTGCTTCCTGCTTCCCTACTTTGGAAACTACCACCCCACTCCCAGTCCCTGACCTGCTCATCCCACTGAGGGAGAACATGGGACTTTCCTCCTGGGTGCCAAAGGCAACATCCCAGGGAATGTTCCTCCGGGCCCTCTCACCCCAAAACCCTCCCTTGGCTTTTGTTTAAAATGTTAGGTTGGCTGAAAATCCCGAACAAAGCAGCAACACAGAGTATGGTCAGCAGTAAAATAACAGGGCAACAGTTACAACAGGACAGGAACACGTTCACAAATGACAGGATTCCTCCTCGTCCATCCCGTGAGCAGGCTCCACGAGCAGAGGGACAAACGGGGAGCAGCAGCCACGGCACCAAACTCTGCCCAGAAAGGAGCCCCTCCTGCTCTCACTGCACGAGCAGAGCCCGTGGGAGCAGCCCTGGCCTGGCCAGCACACGAGGAACACGGCAGAGAGGGGAGCAGATCATCTCCAGGCATTAGATGATCCAGGGAATGATCACGACACAGGGTTGGGTTGCAGCCTGTGAATGCACAAAGCCATTTGCAGCTGTAGCTCCCAAGAAAAAAGTTCCCTGCAGCCTCCCAAGCCAGGCATTTGCTTCAGATATTCCAGCTGGGTGTCAGTGCAGATTAATCCATGCCAATGGGGTTGTTTTCCCTGCTCAAGACTCCAGGTACAGAGGTGTTTCAGAGCCTCCCCACCGGGGGAGGATTCACTGGGCCAGGCTCCCCTTCTGGCCTGTCCACAGCTCCCTCAGCTCCACTTTGCAGCCCAGATCCCTCAGAGCAGCCTTGGCCACGTCGTCGCAGTCCCTGTGAGCAGCACGAGCCTCTGTGATCAGGTTCTCAGCTCCCATCTCCAGGATGGGCTGGGAAAAGTCCCGGCTCCGGGAGACCAGGTTGCGGATCAGCATGCAGGCCTGTTTCTGGAGAGGAGAGAAGGCAGGGAGGGAGAGAGATCAGAAGACACCACCCCTGCAGGATCTGGCTCCCAGCCTAAGGAATCTTTTCTAGGAAACCAAACTGAGATGCTGCAGGCAGCAACAAACTTTCCTGGAACAATAAAATCCACGGACAAAGGTGTGGAAGCTGTTTCCCGTCGAGGTTTATGCAACCAGAGCTCCTGCTTTTGTCAGGACACCAGCAAATCTCAGACAGCAGCCAGGGAATACCAATTAGTTCTTTAAATACTAATAGTTAGTATTTAAATACTAATATTTAGTGTTTAAATAAATAACATTAAGAATTCTCCAGTGCAGCAGCCCCACCTTCCCACCCCTCCTGTGCTGCTCCAGGCACCTTCCCTGGCACTGAGCTTAAACCTCTCCTTCAGAAAACACCTTCTTTGGGTTTTTTTAATAATCTGAGGAGCACAAAAGCGGGCACAGGACCTACTGAGGACCTGCATGAGAAACCAGAGGCAAACTTCTTGCCATGCAGGTGTTTTACTTGACTCTGTAGAACTGATGGCACAGGCTGGGCCTGAAGGAGCTTATCCTCAACCTGCCTTTTCAAAGGGGAGGAAAAAATAATGCCTGGAAGAAGAGCAGGGCATCCCACAGCTTTATGAACCTGAATTGATTAATTATGAACCTGAACCCAGGTGGCTTTGAAACCCAGACTAAGTTTGGCTCTGCTCAGACCACGGTGCCAGACGCAGAGGGTGCCAACACACCCAAAACCCGCTGGAATTTGCCAAGTAAAGGTCAAAAACCCTCCAGGAAGGAGATACCACAGCCAAGCCCAGTGCTGACCAAAGCCCCCAGGTGGCCTGAGGCACATACCTGGACAGCCACTTCTCGAGGGTGTGCTTTCATGGCCTGCAGTGCTGCCAGGGCCCCGCCGCCCTCCATGATGACGCTGCAGTTCTCGGGCTTACGAAGAGCCAACATGCACAGGGCAGCACAGCCCTGCTCACAGATCTGCAAGGCAAAGGGGGAGAGGCTCACCTGGGCTGAAAACAGGCCTTCCAGGCAAACAAAAGAGGAGTTTCTTTCCTTTCCTGGTGATTTTTAATTTAGTTTTGCGGGTTTTTTTTAAGTTTCCCCACAGTGAAACATCCTGATGCTCCGGGGTGTAAACCGAGCTGGACTGGATGGTCTTGGAAGTCTTTTGCAGGGTCATAGAATGTGCCAGGTTGGGAGGGACACACAAGGATTATCAATCCAACCCTCAGCCCTGCACAGGACCATCCCCAAGATGTCACACCCTGAGCCTGAGAGGATCATCCAAACATTCCTTGAGTTCTGTCAGCCTTGAG